TGCTTCATATACACCTATCAATGGGTAGCTTCACCCATACATAGTTCAAATGGTTCATAATGATGCAAAACATTTGAGACTGTTCTTGAATGTTCCAAGATGTTCCAGGATGTTACAGAAGACTTCAGAATATTTCGTTATCCTCTAAAATGTTGTGGAATTATCTAGAGTACACTCAAGCTATTCTAGAACTGTCTCGGATTGTTCTAGAACTTTCTAGAAGGCAAACTTCAAGCCGTTCATGATGGGTCAGTCTCAGGGTCCAGAACACTTAACATTAAAACGGAAAAAATTTTGATGAAACCTAGCATAACTATACATGATAACAATTATGAAACTCTGACAATAAATTTTATCCAACATGCGTCTTGCTATACGGTAGCTTCATTAGTAACTGGTAAGTTTCTTCGAAAAAATATTACTTTTCCATTCCAATGGAATGATCTATTTTCAGTCTCTCATCGCCAATACATACCTTGTTACGTATATCTGATCCTCTATCTCCACAGTGCCAAACTTTCTGTACATCTGGAACATTTTATTTTGACCGTCTCGTCCAGTGCCTCTTCCATCTATGAGTATGTAAATATATTCTCTATTAGTAACCATGTAGTATTGTAAAGCTGTGCTGTACGCGTCCAAAATTTGATTAGAATCGGGACCGCCGTATCTGAAAGATTCGTATAATCAATTCACCGCCTGTCGTTCAAGCCGTGCACGTCGAAAAGTGAGACCTCGTTAATTCTTAGCTCGTACAAGTATAGACTCTTGGAGGTTGTCGTTCGAAAGGAGGCGACAGCTGGTTAATGAAAAAACAGACTTCAAAGATATTTTAATTCCCACTGAAAGGGTAAATTTGTCAAATTTGAGTACGATAAAACTCAGGCTGTTTTTTTGTTGAAAAACACATTGAAAATAATGTACACTGTGGAATATCATTAAGAAAATGTGATGTAATTGGTCGATACCTGATGATCACGCTTGAAGAAACTATCATATAGAGAAACCCTTGTTATGATTTCGTAAACTGTTCAGTGAAAGTTTCAGATTTGGAAGTCTGAAGGCCTTGGGGTAGCGAACAAGTGGAGGCCCCTGAGAAGAAGAAGCATTCAGCCCATAGTAATGTTTTATGAATTTATAAAAAAAACTCTTACATAACTGTGTCGGATAAATCAAAAATACTGAATCCAGGATATAGAGGTTTATTGTAATGTATTTCCACCCTATCCATATGAATGGCGAAAAAGTCCTCTGAGAAAATGTAAAGTGTTTTGAAATTAAAAGTTGTAAGGGAATTCGCACCAGTGGCACGTCTTATAGATTCCTAATGAGTCACAAGCCAAATATCACCCCAATTATCAAGTTTCTCCATTGTTTTTCCAAAAACGGTATTTGTTCTTGTGAAAATATTTTCACTATACACATTTTCAGCTCAATTTCTCACAAGGGTATTCAAGTCTACATATTCCTACATATCGTGTCGTTTAAAAATTTTCATTCGAGTGAATTCGTCAAATAATTTTTAAAATTTTGAGCTCAAAGAAGCGAGAAGCTGTGAAGATGACTGGCAGGGTCAACCGTTTTCCAGATGTTCCCACTTATTTTATTTCTCTCCAATTCAAACAAATTACAAATCACAAATAAAAAAAAATCTTGCTACTGAAGTGCTCGATCAAATCAAAAATTGATAGTAAATGGAGACTTGTGAAAGTATTCTTAGAGGAAATGCAAAAAAAGTTCGATAGGAAACGTGAAAGCTGCTGAGCCGTCAAAATTTCGATATTTTTTTAATCTTCATTGTGGGACCCCCCACCACCCCTCCCCTAAATCCCCACCTGCCTCCCCTAAATCGGGTGCTAGTGTCAAAATAAAATGTTTCTTGGATCACTGAGAATATTGAAACTCATATGAGATGTTTTTTCATTCCAGTTTTTCTTGAAAGAACAAAGAGGGATCTGTCTACTCAAATGCATTTAATGGAATCACGAGGATATCTGACTGATACCTAATCCTTACTTGTTTTCTACCTTTGATTACGTGAGACTGCAAAGGGCTGAATTGTACCTTGTCAGCCCTTTGTCGCCATTAATAAATCTCATTTTACATTTTTTGTCTCCTGAACTTTCGTAGGGATCAAAAAACTTGTACGGGTCAGGTACCAGCATTATGAGCGACACTGGAATTCTCTGTCTAATATTTGTTGAAATCTGTTTAAAATATGTTTTTCCTTTGAACGGCTGTCGCCCCCTACGAACAACAACCCTCAGAAATCGAAATTTGTGCAAGCTTAGGATTGACGATGGCTAACATTTCAACGTGCGATATCTAGTACGTATATGACCCTTATATGTAAAACTTGTAACTTCCAACTTATCACAAGAAACGAAGTGGAAATAGATGAACAAAAAATTATAGTTTTGAAATATTCAGAAAAAATGTAATACTTACGTGTTCACAACTGCTGGGTACTTTTTTAACGAATTTTCATTTAGCTTGGGTGGTAAAAATAATCGAACTCTAGCGGTGAAATTGTTGCTTATAGGAACTTCCATGTTTTTTACCACCGGCATTGATTTCAGTTTGAGTTTCTCTCTCAAGGGCTTGTTTTCCTCCCAAACAAAACTATCACTAGGCTAAAAATTAAAACTAACATGATACAGTAGTCTTCAGTGCTCGAAGGAAGTAATCAATACTTGTGAGTAAGTAAGTTTATTCAAAAATATCATTCAATGTCCATGTTGGTATTTTACGTCAGAATTTCATTTTAGTAGAAGTTATTCTGAGAAAAAAGTGAATGCTCAAAATATAACATTACTTTCGATATGTTTCTGTGTAAGAACAATATTTGTTACTCACGAATTTTTTTTTATATTCACAAAATTTCGTAGAGTTTGTTTGCAAAACGAATTCATTAACTCACATCATTTGTGTTGACGATTACCAGTAGAGGTGGATTGGGCCCCAAACAAGTTTTCACGTAGTAAGAATAGTTTTTGCTGAAAGCAGCATCAGCAAAGGTACAGTTACTCCCATCAACAATAAAGTCGCATGTTAAGCATCCACTTTCTCCTTCTTCAGAAACAACATACACATGTTGTTGGGATGGTGTATCGGCCACTGTACCCTTGTAATATCTGAAATAACAGTTCGAACAGTTTTTTCGTTTTTATTTCTTCTTCATATTACAATTTCAGTTTGGATGAGTATCAAATAGCGGTATTGGCTGAAAATGATATGAAAAATAACATGACGTCAACGGACCGCTCAAAATGGCGGACAAGTTTTTAAATGGAACCCCATGATATAGATATCAAATGAAGGGAGATTAAAAAAAAACAACTCAAAACTGCCGAAAATAGATGGCCGCCATAATAATTTCCTAGAGTAATGACTCTCCAAAGGTTAGGAATAGTTTAGTGGTACTCGACCAAATTTCAGAGACCATCTATGCAACAATGACGAATTAAATGAAATGAACAAACAAAAAACATGTTTAGCGATGACTAAAAAAAATAATTGATCAATAGTGTAATACTATCCATACGGGATGTTTTCATCAGCCAAAAGAAAGTTTTGACACTAGTGGCAGAAGTTTCCTACGATCATTCGTATAGGCATATTTTCCCTGCCCTGCCCAAGACCACAAAATAGAATGAAGATCTTTTGTATCTCCAGGCGCTTGGGGAAAATCTTCAAGGGAAGCTGTTCAAGGCTGAGAACACAGAACCATTTGGTTCCAAACATTTCTTCTGGAAATGGGGGATTTTGAATTCACGATCGAACTTATGTCTCTAAGGAAAGGATATGGTGAGTTGAGTTATTAATTTTTTATTCTGACAACTGTTGCTTTAAATATACTTTCAGTTTGACCTATGTGGAATATCGAACATGATACATTTGATATATACTCATATCAGAAAGCCATAGAAACCATAAAAATCGATATTTTTTAACTTTCTTCATTTCCATATGCGAAACATGTACAGTAGTAGTTATCCCCTGTTTCTTTAAAAAAATTATTATCATTATATCTTCTTCAATGTCAACCACAGCGAAAAAGTACGGAGATCTTTTCTGTGCAGAAGTTTTCGTAGAATATTGAAGTATATAAAGATGTTTCCCATTTCAGGGGTAGCAATTTCAAATTACTTACATCAAACCTCGAGCTTCATCCCATCCATAAATAGATAAAACAACTAGTCTGCCATTAGTCAGTCTGATTTGTGTATTGGTATCGATGTCTGTAAGTACCAAATGATCGTATTTGTCGTCACCTTCGATTTGAGGTAAGATTTCTAGTCTCCTTTTCCCATTTTTGCTATATTTTGGGATCCGTGGTGTCAACCATCCCTTTTCTTCCTTGTAAGATTGTTCCTAAAACGTCAATGATTCAGAATGAATGAACTTATAGATCCCAAGTTCTTCAAAATTGCAAAAGTATGTACTGAAATAGATCTGAACATTGGAAGTACAAGCGCCTATGTCCAAATTTTGCTTTTCGAAACTATGTTCACCATTTCACACTAATAGGTAGTGTTAAAGCATCAGTTTCTTGCCCACTTATCTGACAATGGTATTTCACATCATAAATTGAGAAAAAAAAATCATTGAGAATTAAAATCTGCTCCAATATCTCAAATGGTCATTCTTTTTTTCTTATCCTTATATCTATAGAATTTTAGATCATTGGAAAAAATAATGGAAAGTGACGCATTGTCTTCTGCTACCTGATTTTTAGCGGTGTCTTCTTCCCTTTGCGTGTTCTAATTTTTGATGATCTGTCATAAATCAGTTACTAAGTGTACCTTAATTCCTAACAATGAAGTTTTATCCAAAATATGACCATATTTCACCCACCTCAATACACGACCCATCCAATTTACATCGTATAATAATAGACTCATTCTGGACTCTGTTGGTGGAAATCATAGCCACTTCGGTGTCAGAAATCCACGTCATGTCATAGAAAATGTAGTCATTCGTGTCTTTGTTGTGGATTGTGGATGGGAACTGAAACTCAACTGTTTCCTTCGTAGTGAAATCATACAGGTAGATGGTGACAAGAGGGTTTGGTGTTCCTACCTGAAAGCAGTAAATTTTTTGTCATGAATTTGAAAATAAGTAATATTTGTATGAACAGAGATGTCTAACCAACGTTCCTTTCTACAAGTTCTACAAGTTCCGTCCTACAAGGACATAAATCAAGTAATCATAATGAATTTTAAGATATGACGTGAATGTTCATGTGGAGGTGTTTGTGGCGCATTTGTTCTCCATCACACATTCCATTCATCAAAATAATATAACGCCTCTAGTGTTTTCTATTGTCTTGTTAATATCTGCCGCAATGTTTTTCTTTATGATTTTTCATTCATCATTATTATTATACTATTATTTTTATAATTAGCAAATATGTTTTTTTCTTTAACGCTGCACACAACATGTATACCGCGATGGCAGATATGTTGTTTTGTTTTTTTTTCTTTAACGCTGGCAGCCATGTTTTTCGTCAACGCTGCACATACTTTGTATACCTCCATGGCAGCCATGATTTTTTCTTCAATATAGCACACACCCTGTATAGCATTTGACTGATGTGTTTTGAAACAACACTCAAGGGCGCTCGATTCGTTATCTTTCAAACAGCGATAACGCCGCCGCAAATTGAGCCACACACATAAAAAAACACTGATAAGCCACTTCCGCCTCAGAATCCCAAGAATTAATTCTATAGAAAAAAATTCTTGTATCCTTGTATTACTCACTTTGGGGTACTTGAGTTGTGCCTCAGTGGGATACTGATTCTCCTTAGATCCTGGCTCTCCATAAATGGCATAAGAGAAGTTTTTCACGTTTGTATCATCAAATACAGCATAAGCTAAATATGTAGCTTCAGGAGAAAACCATGAGGCTGATGTGGCACTCAGTACTTCCTCTGAAATTAATTCACTGAAAAATCTTCTAATGGAACAACTATATAGAGGGCGTTCTAAGGAAAATTTGTCCCCTTCCTGGAATAAACGGGCGTGAATTACAAAGAATACATCAATTTTTGTTTCGAGAGATACAACTTCAACATGAAATTCATACCCGATAGTTCACCTACTTGCTAATAGCTGCTACAAAAGAATCCAAAGGCATGAGATCAGGTGATGTAGCTGGCTACTCACCTTTGTAATTTTATGAAATCTGAATCGATGTAATCGATGCGTTTCCATCATAAAATGAGGATTCACATCAGTAGTTGATACATTGCTCCAGTAACGTCAATTATGACTTTTTGAATTCACCATTCAATACAAAAGTGTACTCATTGAAAAACCCAAATGTTGGGCGTGGATTATTGAATTATTCAGGACGGAATTTGTGGTCATTCAAAATCTAAACACACTAGTTAACCGTCTTAAAGATTGTCATTTATCGATTTGTAAACCACCTTAAACTGTCACTTGAACTGCTCCGTTTCTGATAGGGTAGAATTCGTCATGTTCTGTTCATAATAAAAAAAATGATGGACAATTTCGTTTCAATTAAGTGGCAGTGGCCAACTACCACTGTTTATTGATTTCGAAACCTTTGCAGAGTTTCATTGATTGATTTCAAGGTCAATCTCAGTTGTTGTACCGGTAGTTTTCGTTTGCAATAAATGTTTTTGTACAATCATGTCAAATATTGGAATGACTAGTCTAGGATATATTCAGATGGTGCAAACCGTTTTCTGATGAACGATTTCCTAGGCGTTGAATTGGCAAAATTGTCTAGTGGGGTGCCAGTTACATCGTCTGATCCCTCACCGTTGCATTTTTTCGATGTTGAGTAGAAAGTTTCCATTACGACTTCTGTAAATCCTCAAGAGCTGTTCCAGAGAATTGTTAGATAACAACGTTTTTCTATCCTAGAGGTGATAGAGGTGTAGAAGACATCTCCAATGATATACGGAGATCCGTAGTAGTAGACGGACGTGCCGATAACGTCCGTCCACAAAGATAGTATCTACACGAATGCCATGTGCTTTCGTGGAGCCTTTTTGTGTTGTGATGTATGTATCTATTATGTTAATTAAAATGTGTTAGATTTCATTATGATAACCCTTCGTTTACACCTGAATCCAAGCCAGGGTGTTTCGGACATCCACGTAAAGGGAGCCATGTATATGATTAAAGAAAATTTAAAGGTCTCCTGAGCAGGAAACGATTCTCCAAAAGATTATGAGTTTATTGTAACAAAAAAATATGAAAAAGGAAACGAGTTAGTGACATTGTTGAGAGCAAGATTGTTGCTCCCCCTGTCATTAACAGGGGCCTGGCCATATGCGCCCGAGTGGAATGCAACGGACATTAAAAATAGAGAAAGACAGAGAAGAAAAATGATATATTACTCCACACCCCCACTACATATAGGGCTACATATAGGGGTGTAGCTGTATCTCTCTTGAAACAACAACTGAAATTCCCCGTGAATTCTCGTTTTTTGAGTTGCTGGAAAGTCAAATTCTCGTTTGAACGCCATACCATATATTTTTGAATAATTATATCCAATTTTATTTTCCTGAATTCTAGGTTCAGTTACTTCAGTTTTTCAAAATTTTTGATAGTCATCTATGTTTCATTTGACTCACCCTCGTATACCCAGTCAGCAACTCCACAATAAATTATTCCTTTCTTGCCGATCGTGGTAATAGCCAAAGGCTCGGAAACGATTGGAGAATCCAAATAATATATATTGTTGTCCTTTACGTAAATTAATCCATGTCCTTTGGGAGCGAAAGCAACCAGTTGTAGAGGTTCCAGTTTTGCAATGTCGTAATATCTCCTGATTAATTAATATTTTGAAAATGAATTGGTTGAATATAATGGAATTGAGGTTCTATGTATCGGGACATCTCGAGACATCAAGAAATAATTTACATAAATAATGAAATACTCAACTTCATTGAATATATCACATGGAATTCATAAATATATTGAAGGCTAAAATTAAATTCTTATATTTCGTTCATGATATATCCTCCTTTCTCTCCTGAATCAAAAAAAGTTTTGTTTGTACGAAATAATGTAGAGATATATACCGGTAATACTTTTTTATTTTCATCATTTCTGAAAGTAATCTCTTTTTTTTCTTTCAGAAACAAGAAAAACGCTAAAATTTACTCTTCGTATCGTTATAATTCAACAAAATATGAAATGATTTGATTACACAGGCCATTTTTTTTCAGCTGATGCCGCTATTGCTATTTCGGTACAACGTCAGTTAAACTGAAGAAAAGATTTCTATTTTGAGAAAGTAGAATAATCTTTTTTCAGATCTAAAATTTCTGTGGTTTTTTTGAAATATTCGCCAGAAACTAAAATACTCGAATTTAGTTTTTTGGCTCTACTGCCTCCATTTCGAATGATATATTAAAAAATGATAATAATAAATAAGGACTTCTAGTTTTTTCATAACAAATGTGAAACAGTACTGAAAGTTCCTCTTTTTTTTTTAGATCAGTCGCTTTGCTATCAGTGTTATCAAATATCATGAAGGTATTATAGTTATTGAAAACAATACTCACTCTTCCGCAATATCGTATATCTGATAAAGACTAGACGTCGAATGTCTGAACACCTAGAAAATAAAAATATTGATTTGCAAATGAATATTTGGATGCATGCAAATCTGACGTCGCGAAGATTATCAATATTAGTTGTCAACAAACACATATAACAACATGCAGTCAATGAAAAAGAAGGTGAAAGAGTAGTTCAGAAGTTAGTATCAATCTTGAAGCTGAGAGAAATCCCAATGTTATTACTTTTTTGGAGTGATGTGAAAGCGCAATTCGTGTTAGGAATCACACGTTAAAAGGTAAGACCTCGTTAGGCCTTAGCCCGCACAAGTTTTGACTTCTCGGGGTGTCTTTTGTAGGGGTGCGACAGCTGGTTAACGGAAACAAAATATTTCAACATTTTATAACAACAAAAAATCATTTTCCAGCTGTAGCTACCAAAAAATGTTCTATAGTGATTTTCTGAGCATTTCAAAAAATTAAATTGGTCAGAATAAGTACTTTTTTATTTCTACATCATACTCAAACTATTAAAACTAAGAAATGATCTTTGAGGTATCAAACGGAGAAAACTTCGAATTAAGAATTCAGCTTTGTATAAACATTCAATTTTTCTCAATAGTCTAATCAACAAGTTCAATATCATGAAAAATAGAGATAAAGGTCCTAAAAATGTGAGCGATAGCTCATTCGATTCGGAATCACCTGGAGAAAAATGTTTTTGAAGGATTTCGGTGCAGGTAAAAATTTGAAATTGTTATTAACAAAATAATATTAGAAAAATGGTGCTTAGTTTTTCGTTAATAACTCAAAAAATATTAATATTTTAGCAATTTTGAAGGGAGCTCGTTAAAGAGGAGGAAATTTTCGATAAATAAGTTCCAATGGAAAAAGTATAGTATTCTACATGCGAAGAATGATTTACGGCGTTCTCCTTCGGACTCTATCCACAAACTTATCACTAGTTTGCATAATTATATTCATAAACTCCTTTTACTCTGTTTCAAGATTATAATAGCAACAATGACCTTGGCAATCTTCTTGGTGAATAATTTGCATTGCATTGAAACTTTCCCAAAATCGTATGTTGATCTTTTATTCTAAATCAGATTACTCTATTGAGTGAGAATTTTTCACTTCGTCACATACGAGAAAAAAGGAAATACTGATGAAAAGACTTACCGATGACATATTAAAACGAAATAGTGCATAGGATCGGTCAGGAGAGAAACTTATTTGTGGATTTGTGTAGTTGGCCTACAAAAAAATTAATTGCATACTATATCTCATTTGAACACAAATCAAAATATATAGAAGTTTTTCTTACTCACCATCACAGTGTGGTCCAACATCGTTTCTGTTGTATTTGTTCCTACATTATATTCATTGATTCCACTATTATTGATGAATATAAATGATTCGTCTAGAAAATGAACGACTAGTCAGGAGTCAAGATTTGAAACAATTGATTATATCGTCTGAGCTTTTTGATTTTCAGAAATTTATAGTTTTCAACAAAATTCACTCTTATATAGAAAAAGTAATCGGCATAAATCTAAATCCACGAAAAAATACCCCGTCTTAATAAATATATACTTAGTATATCGAGTGGTCCAACGAAAAGTATGCACCTTGCTTTTCTCCTTTTTTTGTAGCTTAACGCAAAAATGCTCGGACAGGTCAATTTTGCTTTTGAGAGGGACACATTTTAGATGTATTTTTCTACCTGTGCCTTCAACCCCCTAGCGAGGGTGAGTAACAACCCTAAAATTTTGAATGGAAAGTGGGGTCGAGTGATATGTCATTTGGAAGGGCACAAAATTTTCTTTGTAATGATACCTAATTTGTTGTATTTACTTGAATAGTTATAAAAAAAGCAAGAACATTCACTCGATATTTTTGGTGTTAATGAAAATGCGGAAAAAACGGCATTTTTATCATTACTACATTCCTCAATTTCTCTCGGGCGTTTTTTGGTTCAAATAACAACAGCAGATAAGTGTATGGTTGTAGTTGTTTTTCTTCATAATACCTACATGTTTGAGTGAAATACAAAAATTAGGTATCATTAGAAAGATAATTTTGTGCGCTTCCAAATGATATATCACTCGACCCCAATTTCCATTTAAAATTTTAGGGTTGCTACTCACCTTCGCTACGGGGTTGAAGGCACAGGTAGAAAAATACATCTAAAATGTGTCCCCCTCAAAAGCAAAATTGACCTGTCCGAGCATTTCTGCGTTGAGTTACAAAAAAAGGAGAAAAGCAAGGTGCATACTTTTCGTTGGACCACTCTGTATGTCACACAGTTTCATTCACATACAGATGTAATGAATTTTGACAGAAAAAAGTCAAGATCTCCAGTAAAATGCAAGATTTCAAAAAACAACAGAATTTCGAGAAAAATAGGATGATAGCAACGTCTGACAACAACGTGATTGGTTTATAATTCCAATTTTAGGAATTGATTAGACTTAACTTTTTTGATGAAGATTCGCAAACAGTGCAGTAAATTCTCAACGCAGTGAGAGCAGAAACGTATCTCTTGAAAACATATCACATACCTGAAATCCATAGCCCGGTCCAAGTTGTGGCTTTGAATGTTCCATTCAAGAATTCATCCAATTCGAACGGGCTCAACTCATCTTCTGTTTCCTTGATGAATCTTGCTTCAGATATTGAGAATATACAGAAAACTAAGTAAATATGCTGGAAAAAACAAACTTTATTGTAAACTTTCGAACCGATGAGGAAACGATATGAAATTATTTTTTTTTAAAGAGATCGATTATACAAAATAACAAATAACATTTCTTACAGTTCTTGAAAACTTCATTATTTTGAACTTTGATAGTTCGTTTGCTGGAGATAGACATATCTATGGAAATGATGTTATTAATATTGAGTTTTCATACAACTAATGTAACAAACATAGTGAGGCAATAAGCAGAAACTGTAGAGGTGAATGAAAGGAGTGTCAGCCTTAACATTCAAGATTCAGAAAGAAAAAACATATACGATACATACAGTAGTTCAAATGAACTGGGAAAGGAAAGTTTTGGAAATCAATTATTACCGAAATGAACTGTTTTCCAATGCTTATATCAAAGTAGTTGTTTCGGAAGGGTTGTTCTTCCAATTTGTGTATGAAAATTACTCTCTGCAAGATTTGCACATCTTTACAAAAATTCATTCTTAAAATAATTGCGTCATATGGAATTATCAGAAAATTTTTCATTCAATAAGTTGGTGTCCCAATGATCGAAACTTTGTGATGGTATCTCAGAACACAAAAAATGAAGGCAACTATGCTGACCTTGAGTGCTCAGATTGAAGTAACTCAGAATAAGCAGCACAAGAGATGTTTCGCAAAATCGAGTCAGCGAACAGAAGAGAACTAAAGTCGTGTATTATCTGCTTATTGATAAATATCGTATTCTTCTTCAGACTGATGGAAGTTATGAATATACAAACTGAAACTAAAGCACCAAGGTAGATCCTTAAGGAACACCTTTTATAACAGACTCTGAGGTGATACCATTCACTACAACTCTTCAATTTCGATTTAGGTGATTTTCTAATAGAAAAAACGTAATTTACAGAAGGACCAAGAGAGCTGATTATCGCATAGTCAAACCGAGAATATCGTATGCTTTAGCTGTGATAAAAACATCTGTCAGATTTAAATATTCTTAACTTCTCTTTATATTATGTTTGCATTGCACCCCCACAACTTCTTTTGGATAGCTACATCAAGAATAATACATCATTTCGAAAGTATTGTCCAGTGAAGTATTTTTCAAAATTTTCAAATGATTTGAATTGCATAAACCAAAACGGCTGTATTAGGAGTAAATCTAGATGGATACCGAATAATTCCGATAGAAATGGAAATATTGAAAATATTCAGGAATCACAGCTGGAGGTTATGATTTCTGACCTTCTCACGACCAAGATACATCAGTTACTTCGCTCTGCACACCCTTGGTCGCGCCACAATTTTTTAAGAAGATAATATAACAAGTGTGATACATCATTCGAGTTACCTATTACACAGGTCAACGATGAAAAAACTTTTTTACTTAAAACACCTTATTATTCTGTTCTTTAGGGTGCTAAATCCAAATATGACACTTATTAGGCCGTTTTACCTACCATTTTTTCACGTTTGCACATCAATATATTGAATTTTTTTATTTATTACAGAATTTAACAGCTTTTATATACTACAAATGAAATTGTAAAATGATTTGTGCTGGATGTAGAAGAGTAGGCAGCACTGCTGAAGCATATTTACTGTCCAGAAAATGGGGAATTATATTGTTCTGTTCATAGCTGATGTTTTGTTTACTGTCTCATCAAAATGTCTAATCGCGGCTGTAAGAACTCTGCTGACAGTTTTTGTTATATTTGTGGTGAGTTTGTTATTAAAACACATCAAAGAAACATTACAGACTTTGTGAAAAAGGATTATTTCTTATGTTTTGGAATTAAACTTGGTGAGCAGGATAAATATTGGGCCCCGCATAAGGTATGTTATGTTTGTGTTGAAGAACTTAGAAAATGGTTATAAAAGGAGAAAAAAACCTTCAAGTACGGTGTTCTTATGGTATGGAGGGAACCTAGAAGAGTTCCAATGTGCTACAGCAAATATAGAGCCTAAACTGTTTACTCAGAGCCTAAAGACTTAGTTAGGGATCTTAATTACTGGACTGGAGGCTGTTTATTGATTCTTCCAAAACTAGTTTAAAAGCTGTTTTATTACACAATAGTAATGTTTTTTGTGTGAATGGGACAGTAAAGCATTGGTGCAGAAAGAACTGGCATGTGAGGGAGTCTTTAAAACCCGGCGAGAAGGACATTCTCCGCAAAAAAACATGTAGATCCTAAAACATTCTCCTACCACCTCTACATATAAAGTTAGGCCTCATGAAACGGTTTGTAGAGGCATTGCCTGAAGATGGACCTTGTTTAAGGTATCTTTGTCAGGAATTTCCCAACCTTTCAGAGGCTAAACTCAAAGAAAGCGTCTTTGTAGGACCCGACATTCGAAACATGATGTTCGACGTGAACTTTGAAACCACAATGATCATACATGAGAAAGAAGCATGGATATCATACAAGCAAGTTGTTACAAAATTCTTAGGAAATGCAAAAGACCCTGAATATCGTACCATTGTAGCTAAAATGTTGAAGAATTTCAAGAAACCAGGATGTTTGATGAAAGTCCACTTCGTGAACAATCATCTTGATTACTTTCCGGAAAATTTGGGAGATGTTAGTGAGGAGCAGGATGTGCGTTTTCACTAAGAGATTAAATTGATGGAAAAACGTTACCAGAGCCGCTGGAAGATCAACATGATGGGAGACTACTGTTGGCCACTTCACCGTGGAGCTCAACAAGCGACTCATCGCAGAAAAGGCTACACAAGAAACTTCAAAGAAAAAATAGATACCAATCCCATACGACCAGTGAAACCTACATCACAACACTGTATCATGATTTCAAGTAACCTACTGCATATAAAAACCATGATAGTGTTTCAATAATTTCACCATACACCGTACATATTTTGAATTATATAAAAAAGTCAATTTCTCAAAAACTATGGGTGATACAGAAAAACTAAGACCAGATTTGCATTCAGCACAAAAACATCTATAAAAATCAGCTATTGAAATGAACAAAGTTTTCAAAAACATTTTTTTTGTTGGCCTGTGTAATCATTCTTGAGCTAATTGCTAATAGTCAAAAAAATCTTCATTCACAAAGTAGGTACACTAGAAAACGTGTGTCAGTTTCACTTCCACTTGATGCACTCACCTTCACCATGGTTTTCAAGGAACAATGTTGAGTTACAAAACGTATTATGCGCTTCTTCTGAATAAACAAATTATGTTTCAAATTAAAATTCTCTCACCTTCATTGTAGATGACATCATAATCACCGTGTTGCCTTATCCTCGATCGTTATAGTGAAGACGTGAATATGTTTTTTATCTTATCTTTCGAATGCACAGGATTATGGAAATCAACTCACGATTCTGTTTGAATAAATTGTCGATATTATTGTTTTGATTATCCAATCGCGTGAAACGGACTGGCGAATTGAGTTTGGTATGTTTCCTCTATTCAAAATAAACTGCATTCCTCACTTGAAATTTGTCTCATCGTTATCGATAGAATACACAAAGCCATACTGACTTAATCTAAGGTTGACAAACTCACTTTGCGATAGCAAGATTTCTATAACCAACTAGCTGACTCGACGAACTCGTATCATCTTAGAGTCAATAAATTTTTGTTCGAAAGTGATTGATTAGGTTTCATGGTGATTTTTACTAGCTCGGACTTTCATTGTCTAATATGATTCTAATCTCTGTAAGAACAGATATAATTAAAATGAATAGCTAAATTACCAATTCACAACACAACAAAAAAATATTTTTTGAATGTTTCCTACACTAAATTAGTCAATTTCTACTAATTTTGGGGTGATAAAAACGACAATAGGTGATTGACACTTTGCACAG